ATAGACCTAAACTTCATAAGGGAAGGTCCCAGATTATCCCAAGAAGAACTTTTGGACAGAAGCAAGAAGGGACTCTTCTTCAAATGTGGGGGAAAATTGGAACCGAGGTCATGTCTGCAAAATGAAACACTACAAAATTATTCTTGTGGAGGATTCTAGAGGAGAAAAAGAAACTGAATCTGTCAGGAAGGATACCAAGGAGGAAGATGAAACTAAAATGAAATTCAGAACTATGCAATTATCTTCAATAAGCAAGGAAGATGAAAGGAGAACTGAAATGGAAATCTGGAGAAAAGAAGGTTGAAATCCTTCTAGATACTGGTGCATCCCATAACTTCATTTCTCAAGAGTTTGTGAGAAAATGGGAGTTACTCTACCGTATGATAAGAAGATACTCTGTACAGATAGGTAATGGAGATCAAATAACCAACAATAGAATATGTGAAGGGTTGGAATTGAAACTGCAAGGGCTGAAAATACAGCAACCTTTCTATATGCTTGAGTGGAGGGGAACAGATATGGTGTTGGGCATGGACTGGCTTACAAGCTTGGGAGATACTGAGATTAACTTCCAAAATCAGACCATCAAATTGGAGGTTCAGGAGCAGAAGGTAATCATACATGGAGATCCTTCATTAACTAAGACTGGAAAAGGAAAATTGCTGAGCAATCAAGGGTTACCTAATGGCATTGAATAGGAAAGTGTTCAAAAGCCATAAGTTGATGACCTCTATGCTGCAGCAGGATGCACCTTAGCCTCCAAAGAATATGAAGGAATCAAAATTCTGGATAAAGTGTTCTGGAATCTATATAACTCTGCTGTGAAATACATAAGGAGTAGGATGGAAGTAGCAAAGCTACAGGTCCAGCAGGCAATCAAGTATGAAGAAAAGGGAGGGGTGCTAGAATGAAGGAAAAGAATGAGGTTTTGGCTGTTTCCTATCAACCACCTTGAGGGCAAGGTGTAGGGGAGAGCAAACCCAACCCTACCCGATTGACCCGACCAGATATATCCGATTATTTTTTTTGGGTCGGATAACCCGAACCGAATCACCCAAACCCGACCCGATTTTTGCAACCTGAGAGTTAAGCGGGTAGCGAGTAGGGTTACCAATTATGCTACCCGACCCGCCCGAAAACCCGAACTAGCGTAGTATATATACTACTTTGAATTATTATGCATGTTCAAATATCTCAATTATTGTATGTCAATTACCATATTATGCATATTCAAATATTCCCATTACCATATTTGTAAAACTATAACTTTGAATGTTGTATTGTTATGATTTTGAATGATATTTTGATCAATTATCATTTTATTTATCACAATATCAAATATGTCAATCACCATATATTATTATTTTACATGTTCAAATATGTCGATTACCGTATTTATACAACTATAACTTTGAATGTGATACTAGTATAACTTTGAATGATATTTTTACTAATTACCATTTTATTTATCACAAATTTAACAATAATAAATTAAAATCCGAATGGACCCGAAACCCGAATCAACCCGACCGAAACCCGAACTTCTTCAACCCGAAAAACCCGATATATTTTTTGATGGGGTAGGGTTTGAAATTATCAATCCGATACCCGAACGGGTTTACCTTTTTTGAACCCGACCCGTGCTCTGCCCTAGCAAGGTGGATGTTTAAGGGGGGGGGGGGGGGGAGTATTGATAGGTACCGGGCCTAATAGACTGTTAAGAATTGGGCCTAATGGACCTAAAAATATTAATAAAGTAGTGAGTAGCTAATATCTATAGTTTGTAGTGGGAATACTATAAATAGAAGTTAGATGGGAGTAGCAAAGGGTGGTTTTTTGGACTTTGTCATTCTGGGACTTGGGAAGATCGAGAACTGTCTCTTTCTTTTGGGGGGCTTCGGCTCATTGGGGGCTTCGGCCATATGCTCTCTTCTATTTCTGTAATTGTTCTTCTTCATCAATGAAAATTCATCTGTTTCTTGTTAATTTTTATGTTAATTGTCTGGATTGCTGGAGATCTCTATCACTAAGGCAGTTCTTTCCCAGGCATTAGCCGGTGTGTTTTGTCTACCTCGGTGTGGGGAGTTGCTTTGGTGTCCCAGCTAGTCTGTCTGTTCAAGGGGTTCTGTCCGCATATTTTTGTGTTGCGGGCGTAGAGAGTGGTATAGTCATAAAGAGTGCTTTTTACTCCACTTGCTTCTATGTCTATTCGGAACGAAGTCAGAAGAAGAATTTAATATTCACTTACATTGCAACAACTCATCCTCCTATAGAACTTCCTTCGTGCCAGGAAGAATCAGTGATGGCCTTGGTGTGGGCCACCCGACCTGGGAACCGGCCCGACCCGGTACTATGTGGGCTCGGCCCGGGAACCGGGCACCGGTTCTGGGTCATTGACCCGGTTTAGGGAGGAAACCGGGGCGGTTCCGGGATCCATTACATGTGAACCGACCCGGCCGGGCCCGGTTCGGTCCATTTTATTTTTTATTTTTTTTTGTTTGGGCTGGGTTTAAATGGACTGAGCTGGGTGTTTCCGATCGGTTTTGGGGATGGGGGATGGGGGGGTAGGGGATGAAATAATCAAGAAAACAAAAAATAGAACCGGGCCCGGTCCGGAACCGGTAGACAACCGGGCCGGTCCCGGACCTAACCCATTGCCATCCAAACTCAGTCAGGCCTAGGCCCGATCCGGACCCGACCCGGACCTGGGTCCATCACTAGGAAAAATTTTGTAGGAATGCTTTATTTCAACATTACTTTTCTATAATAGTACTCACTTTTGTTTTAGTTCGAGTAGGGTTGATTTGAATATTTGGATATTTAGAGTCATTTCGATAGACACTATTTCAGTTATTTTAGGTTTAAAATTGTCTGTTTCGTGTCCTGCGAGTCAAATTGCTTTGTATAAAGTGATTAACATGTATGTTTATCCCCCCATGTCTATTGTCTGATCTCATGTTTCAATATTAGGAGAGGCTAGTAATAGTAATATACTTACTCCGGTCCGAAATTAAGTTCCGTTTTTTCTTTTTTGGGATGTCCCAAAATAAAGTTTCAACTTCAGTTTCTTTTCTATTTGGTAAGTTTCTACTCCCCCCATCCCCGAAATTAACTTCTCACTTTCCTTTTCGGGTAGTCACACAACAAAATCCCCTCTTTATTTTGTTTCTATATTTAGTAAGTTTTGGGGGGGGTGACATTTACTATTTAACCCATCTCATTTTTTATCGCTAAAACCCTGGTTCTTATCCTAATCGCTGCACTGGTTCCTCTCTCTCTCTCTCTCTCTCTCTCTCTCTCTCTCTCTCTCTCTCTCTCTCTCTCTCTCTCTCTCTCTCTCTCTCTCTCTCTCTCTCTCTCTCTCTCTCTCTCTCTCTCTCTCGTCATCATCTCCCGTGCGTGACCTCACACACGCCGTGTATGACCCTCAGACGTCCCAAACCTTAGTTTTTGCTTCGTTTCTTCCCCGTTTAGACATCCCCTTGATCCCAAACGCTAAATCAAACATAATAAACTATCCAAAGGCCATCTACGTGATACGAAACACAATTTTAATTATTTCTCAAATTTTCTTAAATTTTTGGGGTATGACACTTTGTCCCCAACTGTCCTCAGTCGCCCCCTCTTTCAAACCCTTCCATTGCACCGTAAATTCCTATGTAACTACCCTGTCTGGAACCCCTCCGATACCCACTCTTAAACCCCTCAACACCCCCTTTTCTTTGAAAGCCTAAATTTTGAAAATTATTTTTTAACTAATTAATTAAAGAGTGCACCAGTTACTTACCGGTTTTCGTCTTTTGATACACATACATGGTTTTGTGCATGTGTGTGTGTTTGGGTATATAGATATGTGTGTACACTCAGATATACATATTGAGAGTTGAGAGTAACATTTGATCAATTTGTATACAATTAGTTTCTTGAATAGCCGGTGAAAATTTTAAAATTAATGGAGTGGTTGTTTTTCGAGATTCAAGTTTTTAAAACAGTAGCCAAGTACTTCTCAAAAAAAAAAGAAGAAGCGAAGTAAGAGTTGTTTTCAGAGATTAAAGGCTACCTGAATGCAGAGGCGGAGCCAGAAAAAGGTGTGGGGGGGGGGTCAGAATTTATAAAATTATACGGAGCATACAGTATCAAAATGAGGGATAGTTATTATACAATACTCGAGTTAAATGTTTCATATGTAGCTGAGATAAATGGTAGTTTAATAAACATTTTTCGGTTAATGTATTAATATATATGTAACGTATCATAATGTTCACACAACTAATGATTGAATAAAGTGTTTTATTTTTAAATTTAAGAATATAATCAACGTCACACATCAAATTTTGCTTATTTCATGGTAAGATAGTGCTGATTTTTCCAGAAGTCATAACTTTTTACTCATAATAAGTTACGAGACCCACAATATATCAAATCGAAGGTATTTCAGAAATCTACGTTCTTGAACTTTCAGCGGGGTCGGCTGACCACCTTGACCCCTCCTTGGCTCCGCCCCTGCCTGAATGGTCTCAATTCATGAGTTAGTGTAAATTCATCATTCCAGCATATAGTAAGAAATTTTATAAACTGCTATTTGATTGTATCTGCATGTTTAATTTTTTTTGGACAATTCTTTTTAACCTATATAGTATCTGTTCAATGTTAATATCAACATCCTTGAACTGGGATGAGATTCGAACCTGTGACCTTCTCCTTGAAAGTGCCACGGTGATGCCATTAGACCACCAGATACTTGGCTTTGCATGTTTAACTTATATATCAAGAAGATCACTTCTACTTCAACAAAAACTAGGGATAAGAAAATAAATTATAGAACCACCTTAACTTCAATAGAATTTATGATGTTTTCTTTTGGATTAAAATTTATTAGTCTGGTCTGATTTGGTCTGGTTTAGTCGTGTAAATGTTCGATCTCTCTATGTATTTTATAACTACAGAAGTCTGATCTGATTTCTGATCTAATTTGATCTGATTTGATCCGGTCTATTGTGATCTTGTTTAATCTCGAACCGAAAATAGTCCAAATAAAACATCAATCCGTCAATCCTTCCCTACAAACGTTTCGCCGGATGATAATTCGGCGATAAAGTTAGCATCTCACGAGGCTTCGAAGTTCAGCCGTTTAACACCAAAATGCCTAGGTATGCAATTTCATTCAATTCAATTATTATCTTTCATTTGTATCGACTCGACATATGTAGATTATTTGAATATGATGATAGTTTTTGCTTTTCTTATATTTTTTGCAGGTACTATTGTGATTACTGTGACACTTACTTGACTCATGATTCTGTGAGTTTTCTAATCTTTTAATTTCTCCTGATTTTCTCTCGTTTCCCTGTTATTTAGTCTAACCACTGAAGAAGTTAGCATTAATAATGTATATTTTCCAATTCCTACCATGCTATATTACATGGTTTGAGCAAAACGGAAGTTGAATGTGAGTGGTCTATATCTATGTTTTCAATGTAGAGTATTAATTATTAAGAAGACATCTAATTTGGTACTGTAAATGTGGTAGTGATGCCGTAAGATCTAACCAATTCGATACTGTAAATGAGGTAGTGTTGCAGTAAGATTTACCCTATGTTATCCAATCGCCGAGTACTAGCTGCTTGGGGCAGGACCTTGCCGATTAGTGCTGTATTCACAGTGTTCTAATTTTTTGAGTAACTCGCTGAGTACTCGGGATTTTCTCTACTCGGTGACAAGGTCGACTCACTGAGTTACTTGGCAGTCAATAAATTAATTTTTTTGCGGTTAAATCTGAAAATTTTAAACTAAGTTGGGAACTATGGAATTTATTATGATTAAAATCGGAAAAATATGATTGCAAAGGGAGCCAAAAAATGCCAACCTTGAACCTAGTGAAGATTATTTTATTTTAAAAGTTCAGAATTAAGTATTACTCGTATTAGGTAATTGGTTTTCTTGGAAGTCAGGATGCATGATTGTTGGGATATGTTGCTACTTCATTTTTAGGATTATTATTTTACTCATATTTAAGTATTATCAGGGACGGATCCAGGATTTTGGGTCAAGGGGGGCGAAATTTTTCGTTAGTGTAGGTGGTGAAATTTTTTTTCGTTAGTGTAGTGGGACGAAATTTTTTCCCCTAGTGTAGCGGGGCAAAATTTTTTCACTACTGTAGGGCTATGCGGCTATTTTTATTAAAAAAATTACATTAATACATATATATCCCCCAACGACATATAAATCTATTACATTCTAAATTTAGACAAAGACATCAACCAATACATTTTTAATAACTTCTATATTGTTTAATCTTATGAATCAGTTATTGAATTGTAATTTTTGTCCATCAAGGAGGGTGTTCGTGAGTCATGACTCATGAGAAGTTTTCTTAATATTACAATAGTAGTATGTATGAGATTATTATTTTTAGAATAATATGCACCGCATACACACACTATATGGTGCATATTATATTTTAATATTTGTATTAATGCTATAATAATTTAAATTTTATTATCTATGCAATAAATTATTTTTTAGAAAGCAAGAAGTAAATGAATTATGTAATTTAATGTCAATAAATATTTATATTTTGGATTCATTTCACGTGATCTAAAAACTGTGTAATTAGTGTGTCTGGTATTTAATATTGTTTGATATATATTTTACAAAATTGAGTACTTGTTATCTAATAAAGATAATTACACATTACAAAACTAGGATTCTTATATAATAAGTATCCTAAATCTTAAACAACGAGTTATGTAAATTATATTAGATGTTCTTTCTTTTAAATATCCAATTAAGTATTACATTATGTAAGACTATATATTAATTTTGAAAATTAAAAGCTAAGGGGGCGAATCTAATTAAATTATGAAAGTTTTATGAAAATAATATATATATGGTAGAAATTTTTCAAAGTCCAAGGGGGGCGGTCGCCCCCCCACCCCCCTAAATCCATCCCTGAGTATTATAATCTACTTATATTGAAGGGTTGAAAAGTTTGGTAGGTTATTGCTTATCTCTACCTTTACATAACATCCTAACTTTTTATAGAACACTCCTCAGCACTTCCATTACTTACACAGCTACAATCCCCTTCATTCCATCCAAAAACATATTTTGCAAATGGGATACGATTGCATTAATACTGAGGTTAACATTCCTATATTTTAGACTACAGATTAGATACAGAAACTGGTGTTGTAATATGAGTTTTTTACCTTTCGGAACCAAGTAAACCGATTTCCCAACCCAACCCATATTTTTAAGGCTATTATTTTCTATACCGTTTATCTATGTTTCACTTAGGTTATTGTTCCATTCACTCTTTCTGTTATACTGCATTTTATTGTTTGGGACTTGGGAGCAATTGTTAGGAATTTAATTTACGCACACGAAAAACAATAACGAAGAACACACAAAATTTGGTAACTCAGTTCGCCATGAATGACTACGTCTGGGGGCGCTACCAAGTCAGGAATATTATTGCTATTTTCGGATCCACACACAATGATTACAAGGGAGAGAGCTTGTATTTATAGAGAAGTAAATCCTAACCCCAAGGCAACTAGGATGTGTTTCCTAAAATAAATTAAGAAACATGTTTCCAAAAATAAATTAAGAAACTGTCTCTAACACCTCACAATCTCCCACCTAGAGACTGTCTTCTTCAAACCTCCCTTGTAATCATGGTAGCGCCGACCTTCATCTTCAAGTACCAAGCCAATTGAAGCTATGCAAAGTTTCAATTTCTCCAAGGTTACCACCTTAGTAAACATGTCTGCTGGATTCTCACTCCCACGGATCTTCACAAGCTGCAATGCCTCTATCTCTAGAAGATGACGGATGTAGTGATACTTCAACCGAATGTGTTTGGTTCTCTTGTGAAAAGCTGAGTTGTTGGCCAAGAAGATAGCACTTTGACTGTCACTGTAAAGAATGTTATTCTTGTACTCCTTCCCAAGTTCCCCAAGTAAATTCTGAAGCCACACCATCTCCTTACTTGCCTTCGTAATGGCCACATATTCAGCTTCAGTGGTAGATAATGCAACAATCTTCTGCAGCTGCGAAAGCCATGAAACCGCCGTTCCACCAAATGTAAAAACATACCTGGTGGTGCTCCTCGATCTATCCGAGTCATTCGATGCCAGGTCCACATCAACATGTCCCAGCAGCTCTACATTCTTCCCATAAAAACACAAAGCATTAGAAGCAATACCTTTCAAATACCTCATGATCCACTTCACAGCTTCTCAGTGTTCTTTCCCGGGGTCTCCCATTAATCTGCTCACTACTCCCACCGCATGTGCAATGTCTGGCCTTGTGCACACCATCGCGTACATTATGCTGCCAATTGCTGATGCGTATGGAACATTCTGCATTTGAGCACGCTCCTCCTTGTTCTTCGGTGAGTCTTCCTTGCTAAGCTTGAAGTGACAGCCCAACAGTCTTCCTTGCATTCTGAATCTTTCCAAGACCTTCTGAATGTATTCTGCCTGTGAAAGATACAATCTGCCCGCTGCCTCATCCCTCTCGATTCGCATACCCAAAATCTGCTTTGCTTCTCCAAGATCCTTCATGGAAAAACGTTCTGACAACTGTTTCTTTAGCTTCTCAATCTCCCTTGAACTAGCTCCTGCAATCAACATGTCATCTACATATAATAGCAAGATAAGATAACAGTTCTCGGTCTTCTTGTAGTAGTAGCAATTGTTGGTGTGACATCTCAAGAAACTGGTTTCACGCATGAAACTATCAAATTTCTTGTACCACTGCTTCGGTGTTTGCTTCAACCCGTATAAGCTCTTCACTAGCTTACATACGAGATTCTCACTGCCTTCCGCCACATAGCCCTCCGGTTGCACCATGTAAATCTCATCATTCAGATCACCATGAAGGAATGCAGTCTTCACATCCATCTGATGTAACAACAAATTCTTTGCAGCAACTAACCCCAACACTAACCGAATAGTAGTAAGTTTCACAACTAGAGAGAATATGTCGGTGTAATCAATACCATAACGCTGCTCAAACCCCTTCACAACCAGCCTAGCTTTGTAGCGTTTGCTACCATCTGCCTCCTTCTTGATGCGGTAGACCCACTTGCAGTGCAAAGCCTTCTTTCCTCTTGGTAGCTCAACTAACCTCCAAGTATCATTGGATGTGAGAGATGCCATCTCATCATCCATTGCAAGTTTCCACTTGCCCTTGTCATCAACCCGAACTGCCTCTGCATGGGACTCCGGTTCACCACCATCAGTAAGCAACAAATAAAAATTAGAAGGCGAATACCTATTTGGTGCTCTCCGGTTTCTGGCAGGCCGCTTCCTGGTTGGGGTTGATGGATCTTCATCACTGCTCAACTCTTCATTCTGATCCTGATTGCTCCCACCCGAATTAGAGATATCCAACTCTATGATCTTCGGACTTTCTTGCTCCGAATTAGATGCACTCAATCTGTCCTTGTACATAACATGCTCGTTGAACACCACATCTCGACTACGAATAATCTTCCTATTCTGATCGTCCCAGAATCTGTATCCATAGTGATCACCACCATAGCCAACGAATGTACACTTGACAGATTTAGCGTCTAACTTGCTTCGGTTAACGGAACTGATATGAACATAAGCAACACAACCATAGTTATCACGGCGATGGAGAAGGGTCGACTTGGGAGCTCGCCTCGCCGGAAGATGACCAGGCGCGTTTGGCGTCGCCAAGTCGTCGCCAAGTCGCTAGGTTGGCGATGGACTCCTCGCCTAATTGCAAGTCGCGGAAACTGGGCCACAATTTCAGAACTCCCGAACGCAGAATAACAAGGAAAATAGATTTAGGCCTTAATTATTTTTAGGAAGCTAATTTAATTCTTTTGTAGGAAGCCAATTTAATTAAGGCTTCAGATTTTAGGCCCACGATATTCAGTATATTACTTTAGGGACGGCTAATTGCGCAAGTCGTAGCCCCAAGTAGCATCGCTCGCAAGAAGCAGAGGAAGAAGACTGAGTCGCAGACTCCAGAGCATTGCCCTCCCTCAGGTCCCCGATCTCTTCTTTCTGAGGTTTTTATTATTTTAAATTTTAAGTTGTTTTGACTTTGCAAAGTGCATATTTCACTTTTTGTTTGATTAGTTTTTGATCCTATGATATTTTATTTTCTTAAATATTTTTATCGTGTGATATAAAAGTATTAAACACTGCTGTATAATATACTTTTTTTTTTCTTTTCTGTTGTATGATATATGTTTAAAATTGTTGAAAATACTTCACAAAAAAGCAAGAAAATACTTTTATGATATATCTAAGTACATA